CTTTGTTGACCTATTCCTGCAGGGACTGTGGATTGAAGGTTAAGTTCCCATGAACGACAGAGAAATCTGATCTGCTGAACAACAAGCTCACATTTTAGGACTACATTACTTGATTATGTTTTTTGACAAATCAAATCATTGAAACACCAGCCTACCCATTAGCAAATCATAATGGGATATAAATCAATTCAGAATCAAACTAGCAATATGGCTTGCATGATTATTAAATGCAAAAGGCTGCGATTGAATTAAATAATTGTATAGTTTGTTGCGATGCATGTTTCAAAGCGAAGCGCAGTACTTGAGTAACTCATAGACCTTATTCAGGGCAGCGCCATGACAGATATGAAAGCGAGGTTGTGAGGGATAAACCTACTGTGTTTTCAATTGCATCCTTTTGCAAGATCACTTATAATTTTCCACAGCTCATGTTGTCTGGATTGTCTAATGAAATTGTTGGAAAGATATTTTTTGCAGTGTTTAGTCAGCAGAACAATAAAACAGTACAACCCCCTGAAGAGATGTACCGGTATGTCTATCACTCACAGGCTCGCTTTCATTCCCATTAAAAATCAAAGATGGTGTGGCTGTGAATAAGGTTTATGGTCCGGTGTCTCAAAGCGGCTTGGTTCACAGTGAAGCAAACTCAATGTCTGAATGTGTGAGTTTAATGTGCATTTGGGAACGCATCATGCACATCACTTTGTATAATTTCCACCATTTTTGTGGACAGATGATTACAGCATTTTAATAGATTTGAAATTAGACTAATTTGTTTACACAGAAAGTACAGTTTTCTGCCAAATAATTTTGTGCAAGTGAAATTAAGACACAAGTATTGTGATTTTACTACTGTAAAAGTAAAAAAAAACAAAATCATTATGAATTTTTTTTTATTTTATATTTATTTTACAGTGAAATTATTATTTTTATATTAATATAGAATATTACAATAGAATAATGATGATAACAATAACAAAAGTATTATTATTATTAATTTGTATTATTATATTCAAACTGTTTGGCTTCAAACACCAGGTTTTAATAGACTGAGAAACTTTTACAATTAAAAACAGGTTTGAGTCCACTTACAAGTCCACTTGTATTTCTGAATCACTGTAGCTTTAACTATAGTGTCAGTTTATGGGCTGTCTGATGGCTCTGCGTAACCTTTGCTCCGTATGCCTGGGCCGGTGGTCAACTTCTGCAGCCAGATGGTCGTGTCTGGATCTCCTGCAGTGCCAGTCTCTGATACATGGTCTTAACTACCTCACTGGATGCTACAGCCTGAGGACTGGCTGATATATCTGTCCTGGGATAAACCACCTCACACAACATCCAAAAATTACTTTTCTTCCTTGACATCTTTAGAACCTGGTACTTTCTGCTAACAAGTGCTCAAGTAGGACTGCATTGAGCAAGTAGATTATTAATGCTCAGTGGTTTTCATTTGTCCTGGAGTTTAGTTTTATAACACATATGCGTGTGTGTTTTGTTCTTCCCTTTTGTTGATGGAACAGTTTCTCTCCTCCTGAGACTCTCATTAGTTTTGCTCTCATCTGAACCATACATCTTTCCATCATAGCTTAGCATCCTCTGTGGCAGTACCAGAGTGCTGCACTTCTCTAGGGATGTGTTCACATCTTTATCTCTGACCTACCACCCAGAGCCTGATTGTGAAGTGAATCTTAGACAACACCTGCAAAACTGTTTGTTTACTACAGACAAGTGCAAGCCTGATTTTATATTTTACATGTCTGAGGCAACATTCACACAGCAGCAGAATGCAGTCGTCAGTCCTGTATTTGAGTCCGTAATACGGTTACATTCACATACAGTTCAGTTATTTACAAAAGTGACAACCGCATTCAATTTTCAGGCCTAACAACTTCATTCTCTGAAAGGCTGCACTGTGTGAATGGAACAGGACTGGAAAACTAGTTGTCTGTCACTTCATACAGTGCGAGAGATCCGCTCTGCGCTGCCCAAACGTGTGTCTACCATGTGTTGTAAGTTTTCATGTGTGGTTTTGGTAACTTGCAGCAACAGAGATATGAGTTGTATGTCATTTGAAGGTTTTAGATCCAGCCACTTTTGTTCACCAGGGATGCGTTTCCCAAAAGCATAGTTGGCTTTGGGAAACGCACCCCAGAGCGGCTCCTGTTGGTTTTGTGTTCTACATGTCACTCAAATGATCCGCTCTCCACCCAGATATAAAAGCTGCTGTCGGTTAATGAAGATTTCATGTTGTGTAAACCTCACTCCCCTGGCCTCAAGAGGCACACTAGGGACTTTTTTTTCAGGGAGGGGAGGAGGGAGGGACTGTAGTGTTGCGGAGCGGGCGTGTTACGGATACGTGGTTTTTTTTTTTCATTTAAAAAGCATGTCTAATTAATTTAAATCATGTATTATGAATCATTAAACTTATACAACATTTTTTTTTGAAAATATATGGAAAAAAAATTCACACTAATTCTGTGTTGTGTTTTTTCTGGTAATAAAATGAAGACATAAAACACAAATTTTATCATTTATCATCAATTTTAATCATGAAATTAAATACACTTTTTGTCAAATAACTTGCTGCACAATGAGCTGCAAAAATTAAAGCATGGATTATTCCTTAAACATTTCATTTATTTGGATTAGTGTATTATTACATTGGGACATATCTAAATTCTAATGTACAACAGTAATATATTTCTGTCAAGTTAAACCGAACTTTTATTTTGACGGGTTGCCGTGAAGACCTTTTGAGTTTCTGTGTGTTTATGTCATGATGATATTTTTTCTCAAATGAAGCGGTGAAATGATCACGAAGTGACTTTCAGAGTGGATCTAGAGCCTGGAGAGGAAGTTCATGCATTTGTGTCTTCATATAGGCCAAAAAACAGCGCAAGCGTCACACGTGCTTCAGTGTGTGTGTGTGGTAAATGAAACTGTGCGTCGGCGGCACCATTCATTCAGACAGAACATGCAGGATTCGTATTTAAATAGTCTTTGTGTTTTAATATTCACACACACTAGTCTACATCGCGATTTGATTTCAAGTGTACTGAACTGCTTTCTATTTTTTCCTCAAATTTACAAATTCCGTGAAATTCCGCGTTATACACTAAATTCCTTTTTTATGACTGGATTTCGTCAGCATTTTAGAGGGGGCGGGGGGTCGTTTTGGGGGGGCGGGCCGCCGCCCCAAAAACAATGGTAGGGGAAACACTGCGGTAGGACCGGTTACATTTGTTGCCGTGACCCGGTTGGGAGTGAGGTTTAGGGGGTGAGTGTAAAGGAGGCAAGCTAGGATTCTTATAATATGAATATAAAGTAAAAAAAAACAGTGTTTATTTGAAGTTGTTGTTTTTTTTTGTAACAGTGTGAAAGTCATGTTTAAAGTAAAATATAGGTTTTATGGCAAATATAGTTTTTTTTTTTTTCATGACTGATGTCAATACCAATACCTCAAAGCGGGATGGCTGATATACAGCTAAAATGTTCATGACAGACTTAATGACTGACATAAAGATTTACACAGAATTGACAAATATTTCATTCTATTTATTTATAAATTGAAAACAGAAAATGTTTATTATGCGTCGACAAGGTCTGTAGACTTTGTAGTTCACACAGTAGAGAGGTGAAATTTCTTCTAATTTGCCAATTGGATGAGGTTATCTCGATGTCAGATATCAATTTGTTTCCCTGGTGATATGTCAGTCCATCTACTCCATTTTCATTGGGATAAACTGTATAATATTCTTTGTTTTTGTTGCCAAACAGAAAACTTTTTACATCATGCTGATATTCTGTTCCCGCATGATTCCACTGAGCAGACAGAGATATTAAAAAGATTGTTGTGCTCTTGCAGAAATTAGTATTACTATTTATGCATCATTTCCCAAATGCGTTAGTTCCCTGCCAACCCCACAGTTGAATATGAGTGATTCCTCCAGTGCAGCTTCTAAAGCATCAGGCTGCACCACTGAGCGCATGATGGCTGTATTTTCATCCACCCACCTGACTGTGAAGTGTTGCCTAGCCCTGCGGATGTAACCCCAGAATCCCACAGCGACTCCCTGAGCCTGTGAATCATATCTGTCCCTGCCTCGGCCTACACACCGCCAGCCGCTGTATGCGTCAGGCAGTCTGAGAGATGCTCTTTTACTGGGCCTCAAAAATCTCCTCTCCTCGCTGCTTCCTCTCAGGCCTCTCCCAGCTGTCAGAAACCTGACAGCGAGTTTGATGTCTAATGTGATGTAGGTTTTAGCCTGTCAAACTATAGCATGAGTCAAGCTGTAGAAACAGGCAAAGATAGTGTTTTATGAATCCAGTTTCTGACATTGAACTTCAAAGTTTCTTTATCAACGCTTTACCTTTTTTGAAGCTTAAAAGCATAAATCATCATGGCTAATTAAATTAGCCCTCAAAAAAATAACACACTGAAATATTATTTATGTCTGTTTCAGTTCTATCAGGTTTTTGATATTCAGAGTTTATTTTGGTATGAATTTTGAAAATATAAAATTTATCATGAAGTGCCATGGGTTTGTATAAAGGCTGTGCGGCATAGCTGTAAAATGAAATCCCCATATTTGTCAACTTTTTGTGATATTATGACAATATATATCTTACTATATTTATTCAGATTTTTTTTCTACCTCAGCTAGAGGAACCATAATTTTGCAAAATAAAGCAAAACAAATCTAGTTTGTCAATAAATAAAGACACAAATGATATTTATTTATTTAAAATATGTACTGTATATGCAGCAATATAAACACCTGTAACTAATAGCAAGACAGGTAATAAACACAATGATAAACATCAATATTCACCTACATATTGTTTAATAATTTTTTTTAATATATTCTGTAAAGTCTTTTTTGATTGATGACTCAAATAACAAAAGATTCACAATGGTGCTTAATTTTATATCACTACACAGTGACAGTGTTTGTATCTCAAAACTATACTGTTGCTTACTTTTCTGCTTTTTTTTCCAGGAGGCACAGAAGGTGAATAACCCTATAAACATTCAGGCTGATGGCACACCGAAGATCCTGAATGAAAAGGATGAGGCCCCAGCCAGTGAGGTGGGCTGGATGACCTCAGTCAAAGACTGGGCGGGGGTCATGATCTCCGCACAGACCCTTACCGGCAGAGTTCTGGTGAGACGGCCACACACAGACACCCACTAAAGCCTCACTCGATGCCCACAAGCTCCCTCACATCCCTCACATTCAGAGCACTGGATCCTCATATTTACACATTTTTACCAAGGATATGTTTTCTCACTGATTACTTTGAATTGATGCCTGACAAAACATCTGTGACATGCTATGACACAATTAGCACACTGCTTATGACATTTTCTGTTTTTGTCTGTCAGACCAAGCCATACATATATCTCTAGAGGTCAAGATTATACACAGATGATTTACGGATGTTTTGTTAAATGCGGTCTCATTAGCTTGCCTCACGCAATAAATGGCTTTTGGGAGCGCAGTAATACTGAACTGTGACTCGTGTGGGTGGCGTTCATCATCACAGCTGTTAGTGCCTGGACACGGACAGGTCAATTAACTATGAACAATTGAGTCAATTTAGCACATAATGAAGATCATTTACTTTGGGAACGTTATGCAAATGAGAGTAGTCCTAATTTTATAACCTTCAACAAATTATGGACGAAATCCATTTTGCTTTGTGGTTTTCCACTCTGGTGTGTCTGCATTTCTGAAAGCTTTAACCTCATGCACCAGTAGATTTATGTCCTTCATTTATTGTGACTTGAATACTTTTCTCCCAGTTCTGCATCTCATCTTTCAGGTGGGGTGAGCGCTGTACGTGACTGTATTGGGAAGCTGGGCCCTCAATAGACTGATCTGTAATGGGCCGTTCACAGCGACATCAATTAAATCACTGAAGGTTCACCAAGTGCTGCATTAGACGGAACGTCTCAACTAGTGACTAACTGTATCAACAGACTATAAAATTATCTTCATTAACCACAGTGGCTGGTTCATGAATACCCAGTTTTACCAGCCATTTCTCTCTTCTTTTTTTTTTTAAATCTTTTTTTCAATTGAAATATTCAACTCCACTCAGAGCACCTCCTATATATGGTTTTCATTTGGAGCATTCGCAATAATGGTGGGGTCATATTAGTGACATTTCGTCTCTTAATTCTTAACAATGTAGTTAATATACCGGTAGCTACAAAATGAATGACATTAGTCATTCTGTTGTTTGGACATGTGATTGATTCAGACCATGTGTGCTCTCTCAGTCCGCTTTCCTCTCAATAGCACACAACTAAAATGACAGCTGGGAGAAAACAGCAGTAAAGAAAGCATCTGATTATAGTAATGAGGATATGTTTGATTCAGCCACAAATATCATAACTGTCATCTATAGGCCTACTGCAATTAAGACATTTATTCAAGAAATTAATTACAAACAGAATGACGTTTAGTACAGACATATAGTCACACCGCTCCCCTCACTCATGCTCTGGATTGATTACTTGGGTAATCTGGAAAAAGATATAATATATAGACAGTTATAATCCTCTGTTCAATTCTATCCCAGCAGGTAGAGCCAAATACGGTGGTGTGTTTGCTCAAAGCAAAGTGAAACTAATTAATTGGATCTTTTATTTGGACCCACAGATATGAATGAATGTTATTCCCATGTCATCTAAGCTATTGAGTCTGTCTAAACAACTTAATGGGTTGGATGTACCAGTGGATCATATTTCCTTGTGGCAAATGATGGAAAGTGATAGCTTGGCAGGAATTCATCTCGAGACTGATGCTCAGAGACACTGTAGCAATGCATACAGTATGTACCACTCAGTCGACCATGTGCTACCATGAAACTGAGCTTTCTGTGCCCTAACGTCCTTATCTACAGATGGTGCTGCATTTGTTTTAGCGCTTCCACATGTCATTCCACATGGTTTTTCCATTGTGTGAGTTTGGAGTGAGACTAAGTGGCAAAGCGCATTGAAAGTGTGCTTAGTCTGAATTGTGACTTATGAATTGCCTAGAATGATATGAATTTGTGCTTTGTGTCCTTCTCCTGCCCCTTTCTTTAAGAGAACACTGAAGGTCTGTAAGCTAGAGCATACTGTAATAGTGTGGGTGTGAGTGTGAATGTTGTGTCAGGGCTGTGACTGTACCATAATAATAATGTCCCAAATCAATGGCAGTAAATCAACTCACAATCTTTCATGGGCCAAGAATCTCCCTGCATCCACTGCACACTTATTTAATTTTTTTACATGATTTTTTTTATAATCCTGTAAAGCCTCACATATGAAAAAAGTTTGAAAATCATATTTGTACAAAATATGAGATGAACGAACAGCATTGTAAAAAAAAGGACATACTACAAGTAAGCGGAACAACATAGACTTACTAGTCCATCAACAAGATCGCCAGGTCAGCATCGCTGTTGCATCCAGTGTTGCTTTTTAGCTCGCGCCAACTAGTGAAAGTGGGACTCTTGTCCGGTTCCTCACGGGGTCAGATTCTCTTTTCCTTTTCCTAGTCTCTTCCGACTGCCTTTTCTTTGCTTTTTCCATCGTCGAGTATCACGTCTGAAATGTGCGCAACTGTCTTCGTGCTTCATATGTTGTTGTTGATGTGTGTGACGTCGTTGCCGTAAAGCATGCCGTGATTCTCGCGAGATTTGTCGGGGGCGCTCCTCTCAAACTTGCATTGCTGGTTTTTAGCAGCGTCCTCCCCCAAGCTTTACTACCAGGATGATTCGCCCTACTATGAGTTTGTTTACCACCGAAATGACTTTGAAGCTGTTATATTAAGGTACAATTCTTGCATAGTGTGCCTTTAAACACAGGAACTCACACAGGGTAAGTTTTTGTTTCGAAGAGAGTTTGAATCTTAAATCGATTTCTATGCACAGCCTGTGTCTATATTTGTTCTTCATGCTAGTAAGTGCTAAATACCCACTTTTACAAAGGTGCATGGTCGAGAACGACAGTATAGCGCTATTTGACAAGACAACATAATCTGCACTCTATATACAACGCTGCTTGTGTGAATGCAGAAAGTTTTGACCAAAAAAGATTAGGTAATTTGATCGGATGTCATGTATTTACGGCATTTTACCTGTTAGAAATACATGCTCAGTTTTAATGTTATTTTAAGGTGGGGTAGAATTAAATGAACTGCAAAACTCAGCATTTTGTTCGTGTACCCCCTTCTGTCACATTCAGAATTCCATTGTAGGTTTACAAGCCTACAGTTTTACCGCGTTTTGAAACTTATACTGACACGACAATTCCCCGCTGAAGAGAAAATGACTGAAATTTCACTAGATCTTTTTATGAGTAACAATTAATCTTTGTTTGGTGTTTATTTTTCATGGCCTCTCAGGATTCATTAAAATAACTTAACAAATAAAAACAAGATAACTTGCCTGAATTAGGTCCAGAATGAAACAGCCGTTCAGCATCCAGTTTAGGTCCAGTTTTTAATTTCCGCGTTGGATGAGTTGACGACGCATCAGTTTCACGGTCAACGACGCGCGCATCTCTCTCTCTCAAAAAACAAAACAAAACGGATTCATGCAATTTACACGGGTCATCCAACCGAATTTGAATTTGAATTGTATCTTCCTCGGTGGTCTTCTAGTCTACTAACGATTAGACAACTATTAGTGGGCAGCCCTAGTATCAAATATGGTACAGTAGGCTTTGTATATACGAACCAATATCGATTCTTAAATCCCAAGAATCGATTATTCTATCCTGTTTTCAGTTGATGAATAAACGGAACATTGTAGCGCGTCTCCCATCTAATAAATCACAATAAACTTTTGTAAAGCTTTGTTACTTTATAAAACAAAGTCTCAGATTTCATATTACGTCCATTTTATTAAGAAATTATGAATTAAAAATTTGCTGCTGTGTAGTGTGGTGTGACAGATTGCTGTAGCTTCTCAGTTCAAGAGAAGCAGCAGCACGGGAGCGCACGTGAACTGATCATCTACTCCACTTTGATACCAGTTACAGCATGAAATAAACATGAATGAACATCTGAAGGTATGTTAAAAGATATAGTACAACTTATCGAAATCCATATCACATGTAATCGCTCAATCAGTGATTCAACCGCAGAAAGATGCCATTAACCCTCTGGGGTCCAAGGTGTTTTTTGGGTCCTTGAGATGTTTTGACATACTCTGACATTTGTGCTTTTTTCAGTTGCTTATAAACATATTACTGGCAAAGGTGTAATTACACTCTATTTAGCACACACAGGGCTACCATAATGTGTTATCAACATGTATGTACATTTTTGTATTTTTGAGAGAATATTGTTTATGCGTGGTTATTGAAAAAACTAAAACTTAAAGTTTCTGAAATAAGGCCACAAAACACATACTAAATATGTGTCCACAAGACTTTTGACTAATGGATGTTGTCGCCTAGAGTTTTTTCTTCAAAATGATCTGAAAATCATCCTGCCTTATCATTCCGTAAAACAATAGATTGGTTTAAATTTAAAAATGACACTTTTTGTTTGGAAAGGCAATATGCGCAGGGGTGTGACCTGCTGTGATTCACACCTGAGAAGACAATGGGCCCGCATAATGAGCGCATAATGGGGCTGCATACTAATGACCCTTTCATTCAGGTGTGTCACTGAGCCACAAGAATGCAATGACAATATATATATATATATATATATATATATATATATATATATATATATATATATATATATATATATATATATATATATATATATATATGCCTATATAATACAAAATTGGTTCACAGTTCCAATTATTTATTTATTTTTCAAATTGTGCTTTCAAATTGTATAATATCAAATGTAAAAATTTCTAGTAATTGTGCAGTTAATTATCATACTGTTTTTACAGAAAGTTTGGGAATATATCCCAAATGTGTCACTAATAAAACACAATACAAATAATTTAAAGAGGAGGCTTATATTGAGCTTTTAAGATTTACCTAAGATTTATTTATATGTAGCCTACATATATTTTTGCTATTTTAATAAAAAGGTTACAATTACAACAACAATTAAAATTTTAACTATATTTCAAATGTAATCTTTCTTTGTATTATATACTAAAGTATACATTTTATCATACATATTTCACAGTTGCGGAT